AACTGTCGACTCCCTACAAGCAACAAGCGATTCGCCAAAAGGGTTACAGATCATCAGTCAACAACAAAAGTAAATTTGATTCTACAACTACAATGAATCGAATATCAAAATAACCAGAAAAAACGGGCGGTTTCTCCAATGCAATCTTCGGGTACAAATTTAACCTACTGCGGCTTATGCTTCACGGCCATGAAAGGGTTTCTTGATCCACAAGTTACACGCCTGCATTCTTTCCGAGTCTCTCCCTTAGAATCTTGACTCCCATGTATCTGTAAAAATCGAAAAAAAATCCATCATTTACGTATCAAAATACGATCTTTATAGCATATATCCGATTCTTGACGGTAATATTGATTGGTTCTATATGTGGGTGTGTATATAATATATACCTTCCCATCATCATGACTGTCGCCTGAGGGTTTGTTCCGGGCGACTCGCTAAACGTCGAGCCGTCTATGACTCTGAGCCTGTCAACGCCAATAACTGTGCGGTCATTGCTCACAACTTTCCCGACATGACAACCGCCATGGTAATGCCAGATTGTGATTACAGTGTCTTTGCAGAACTGAGCGATGGACGTGGAATCGTTCAAGTGCTTCGGCATCAGATTGATGTTTGCCTTTGTGCTCAAGCTGAGCAGCTTCTCGACACTCAGCTTCTCTGTCCGAGTGTAGTTCAGGAACCGTTTGGACGTGACGACCTTCGTGATCAGCCGGACACCTTCGACGCAGCGTTGGACATCGAGAGGGTTGCTGAAGTAATTGAAGGTGACGGAAGGGTTGTCGTCGACGTTTGTGTTGACCAAGCTTAAATGCCCAGTTGAAATCGGATGCGCGAGCTTTTCCAAGAAGAACCCTCCATTGAATACTTCAAGAAATGCCTTCTTCTTTCTCGTGTTAGGACCTTGCATCGCCTCTGGTGCTCTCTCCTTTGGAGGGACAGCGGTGGATAATAATTGTTGGCTCTGCATATCGTCAAAGCAAAAATCTCCGGTTGAGCAACAGTTTCTTTTTTTTTTTTCGGGATATTGAAAAGGATTCAAATCTGAATCAAGAATTCAAAACCGTATCAAAAGTTGCGAAAATGAAGAACAAAGAGCAGAAATGCCGAAAGCTAACATCGAAAAACTGCAGAAACAAGAATCGGTTTCTTGGGCGTGAAGAAACTAATGAATCTTAATCGGAATTACAGTTTCTGAAGTCATTACCTCGGCCGACATGATCCCATAATGAGTGTGAATGCTCTCAGCGGACTGTCCAAAGCCGGAACTAGCTTCTATATACACACCTTTCCTTGAAATTCCGACAGTCTGAATAAGTGACTTCTCTACAGGCTCCATTGAAGGGACAACGATGGTGTTCATCGGATTATCAGCCATTCCTTGCCCGACGAACTCGTTAACAAGAACCACCGGAATCTTCAGCCTCTGGAGCTCATTTCTCGGTCCGATTCCGCTCAACATCAGCATCTGAGGCGAGCCAATCGCCCCGCTCGATAAGATCACTTCGCTTCCAGGCTTGTTCCTAAGAAGCACCTGGTGTTGATTACCGTTCTCGTCTTTGAATACCACTCCTGCTGCTCTAGGCCTTTTCCCTGTATCGAATGACCAAACCTTTCAGATCTTTCATACGAAATTCTATTTTCAGAAACCTTCATATAGTTCTAATACTTTCGTCTAGATCAAGAATCAGAAGCAGAGAAACAAAAGGATGAAGACAACAGTGACAAGATGAAGACACTTTCTTGAATAGAAAGCAACAGAAAATCAACCTCTATATTTCAATCATTATAAGCAAATTTACTTGTTTTGATTCACCAAATATTCGAAAGTTAATCAACGGTATCGAAAAAACGCATTTCTTCCTATTAATCTGCCCATAATTCACCGAAAAAAGTGCAGATTTAGCCATTTTCAAGAACTAGAAATGAGATCTATACCCGATGTATCGAAGATGATCTTCTGGACGGTGGCATAGATCAAGACCCGGAGCTTCTGAGGATTAGCGTAAGAGAGTAGCTCGGCGGCGGTGTGGCGGCGGCCGAAGCGGTCGAAGATGGTGCCTCCGATTTTGGTGCCGTACATGTGATCGTAGGTGAAGCCATTGAAGGGTCTGACTCCGGATTCCAAGAGACCGTCCCTTAGGGCTTTCTGCCACAATGTGAGCTTTGGCCTATGAACCACTTGTCGTTCAACCCATGGGTACGACTCTCTCACTAGCTTTGGATTCCATCCTTGTCGCTTTATGAACCTGCAATTTTAGTAATAAACCCTAATCAGAAAGTTTGTTCCACCCTTCGAAAATTCCTCCCGAAAAAAAAATGTATTTTTGGTTGTATGTGTAAATATAAATTTGTGAGCGGAAATGAACAAAAAAAGATCCAAACTTTTTAATTAATTGTAAAAAAAAAATAGGAACTTTACCCAAAAGTTAAGGTTTAAATTTGGCTTGTTGACATTAGGGGTTTTGATTCGATTATTTTTTTTTAGATTCGAGTTTTTTTTTGTTGTAGAAAAATTATATCCACTGGTTTTTATATGGGACTATAACAACTATATGTGTATATATATATGATCGTACCCTGCATCGGCTCTGGAGTAGAAACCTGCGTTGATGCAAGAACCGCCTCCCAAAACCCTAGCACGAGTGTTCAGAACGCCGTCGGTGGAGACGAACGGCTGCGACGCGGAGGATGCTGACGTGTCGGCCAGACCGATGTGGAAGTTCCCGAGGAAGGACACGTTTGCGTTTGAGAACGGAACGCCACCTCTCTCCAGCACCAAAACGCTGAAGTTCCGCGACAGCGTCGCGGCGAGAGGGCAACCCGCGGTGCCGCCGCCGATGACGATGTAGTCGTAGGACGAATCTCGACCGTTGGATGCGAACGACGAGGACGGCGGCGATGAGAAGGAGCTCGCTTTCTCGATGAATGTGTACCTGTAGGGGTTGAAACGACGCTCCTCCCCCTTACCTGCAATCCATTTTTGACATTAATTCTTGTCATTAATGCTAATTGTCTCAATGTTATTATCATAATATTATTTGCTATTACTACTTAATCTTGTTCGTGAGAATTGGTGGTTGGTAGTAGCAATAATTGCTGTACAAAGAGGTTGATATTATACATATATATATATATATATATTATAGAGAGAGAGAGAGAGAGTTTCGACAATGAAGATTAATCTTAGGTTTGGAACAAGAACACGAAGTCAAAATATACAGAGAAGGGATTTTTCATCGGGAAAAATTACGTGCTTCAGTAAAAAAAGGCTCGTGGAATGTGAAAGGTAACTAAAGTAAAACGAGAGATACAAAAACAGAATTGCCCATGAAATTATCCAACATGAAGAAACTCTTCAAAAACCGAAACCAGATCTCTCGAATTGCACTGAGAATCAAAGAGTAAGTGAAAAAAACACAGTGCCCATTTGGTCTAAACCAAGAAAAACAGTAACTTTCCATGGATCTACAGAGAGAGAGAGAGAGAGACCTTTGGGAGGAGAGGAGAGAGAAGGAGGGAGGGAGAGGAGAAGAGCAAAGAGAAAGAGCTTCAGAGCCATTGGAGAGAGGCTGCAGAACTAAAAGCTTAAACCACCGGGAAACCACACTGCCTCTCTTTCTTGTTTTTTTTTTAAAAAATTCTCTCTTCACTTTTCCTATGTGGCTCTCTCCCTTTGGTCTTGTTTTGTGTGCTTTCCCCTATATAAACATAAACGTACATACATACATACGCGCATACGTATATACATACATACATACATACATATACGTACATCTAGATTGATAGATTAACTACATATGCGTCTGATTTTTCATGCAAAACAAGATGTTAACAAGGTCAGACCATGCATGCCCTAGGTTCAGGGAGTAGTTCCCTTTGTGCTTGTCGCAAATCGTATAATTTAAGTTTGATAACTTTTAGAGATAAATAAATGTTTTAGAGAAAACTAATTAACCCTTCAAAGCCACATTTATTCATACTTATAATAACGTTTGCAAACTTCCAATACATATAGGTTTCAATACATAAGTGACATTAATTAGAAGTTACAGAAATTTAAATTACAAATTAGTAACTGATAAATAACACAAACAACTGAAACGTGTACACTAGTAATTGTTTATCTCGAAATTGAAAAAAATAATAAAATAGATTTAGAATTTATTCAAACTGTTTATCTCAAAATTTGGCGAACATACAATTCATATTTTATATACTAATATCTCAATTGTAATAATGAAAGGTGTATACACTAACATCTTATATAACCATTCCATTGACATATAAGGAGATGCCCGGCAGCATTAATTGATCAAAAAGTATAAGAAAGTGTTACAACCATACATTTTGATCATATCGTGAATCAAAGGCCGGTTCCCTTACCTAACTAATTTGATCCATGGACACGTAATAAATGTCAACAAAAGTCAAAAGAAATAATTACGTAAATCCATTTCAATAAAATAAGATTTAAAAAGATATGAAACGCCAATAATTGCACTATTTTAATTTTTTTTATTATTCTATTTAAATCTGATTGTTTTGATTTTGTAAAAAATATTTTTATGCACCGGTAATTAAAACTCATTAAATGGCACATTGGAGTGGGGAAGCTCATGGCCGTTGGATTTGATTTCGCAGCTCCACATTGAATTTATTACCTCACAACCAAAGATGGGCACACTGACTGTGAGTGTGACAGCTCTTTTGTTCACCTTTTTTTTAATTTAAATAATTTAACTTTTAGTTATAATGATTAATTTTGGTCGGCTGCAAATGGGTATTTAAATCACATATCATGCATGTCAAATCTTACATCAATAATACTATTAAGTTTTTAAGGCAATTAAATTTAGGGAGAATGGGGGTTGGGACAGTGTCACGGTTCACAAGCAAACATGATTCATGTTTTCGTATTTGTTTTTTCATTTACTTCCTTCACATGATCCATCCTTTTACTATTAACAATTATTTTTGGACAACGCCGCACCGATAAGTGTGTGTGTGAATTTTAAAAAAAATGATAATTAAATAAAAGAAATGTCTAATAAAAGGAATCATATATGTCGGTCCGGTTATAGCTGTGGATTAAATTGATTTCCCAATGTTTTCTATATTTCTTTTGAAATGTTTGCGCAATAGAAATATACATAACCATTAAATTTAAAGACCATATAAACATAACAATTCATATATAGTTTTAAAGAATTATTGTATTCATATAAAAAAAAATTACAATATTTATTTAATATTTCTGCATTCTCTTAAATTTCTATATTATTCGAGTTATTTATTTTTAATTCTTATTTTTTTTGGGTGACGTGCAAAATTAAATATTTACAAATACCCTAAAAAATTTATATGTAACACACCAATCTATGAGTTGGATTCCGAAGGAGGAAATAAATGGAAGAATGTGACAGAACTTTTGCATTTTAGGGCACAGCACCGCAGCAGTTAATGAAACCAGTAATTCATACGGGTCGCCATTTCCGTGGTTCCACTCTGATGAAAATTATTTATTGTGACAACCCATATACATTACTCTCTTTTTTGTAAAATAAATATAAGATATTGAATCCAAATAACAATTGAAATCAAAAAACGTCATTAGAGAAATATGTATTCGATTACCATATTCTCATCGAAATAACAATGATATTAATATTTTTACAGTAACTCGACAATATTTTTAAAATTCACATATTTATATGAAGGTTTTAAATAATTGGCGTGTTTGTTTGGGGAAAAAATTATATACTATGTATTTTTTCTCTCTTTCATATTTAACAAAGTATTTTTTCTATACAAATAATTTTCAGTATATTGATATGAAATCATGAAGTATTAACCAAAACTTTTTTTGGGTAAAGATGTGTTAACCAACACTTGGATCCACAAGTTCGCATAAATCGAAATGCATATTACTAAGTTCACCATGAAGAAATGGGCCAAAGAAGAGGCAGGGTCCCATGAACCAATTGTATAAAAGCAAAGAAAGTTCTTCTCTCTCTCTCTCTCTCTCTACTCCTCTTTTGATGAACTGGTGCTGTAAGGTGCATTTCCTGAAGAACCGGTCACGGTCGAAGCACTTGAAGCAGCCATGTTCGGATCGTGACTTGTCGTCGACGGCCACGAACCATTGCTTGGACGGCGGCCCCCTCCGTTGGCGTTGCCTTGCGTCGCAAGGTTCTTCACAAGGTTCATGACCGTCGGGACAAACTTTGCAGACAAAGATATGATCCCAGGAAGCTGCGCAAGGAAAAAATAACCCAGTATCTCAACTTCAAGAAAGCTTCTTTTATGCGCGAGAAAGCAATCGTTATCGTTCTTGAACTTGAATCACGTTCAAGATCCATGAATATGCTGTAGTGGGTACAATACATTTTCCAGCATAAGATTCAAGATATGTATATCGTTGTGTGTACTTACAGCGCCGTTTCGGAATTCGCCAGGGATATCGAGCTGTGTCCAAAGCGCTCGGACAAGAAGGAAACCGACGAAGATGACAAAGACATAGAGAGGGTTTCTGTTCAAAGCGCGAAACAGAATACGAGGAACACGAAAACCATGTAAGAATCGTCGATATGATGGCGAAGAAGGTTAAACAATAGTGAGTTCCAGACCTTAGAAGAGCCATAAACTCGTTGAATCCGAGAACAAGCAATGCAGCGATTGCCCATGGAGGCGGTAGCCAGTTGTTACCACGCTTGTTCGCCTCCTGAAATTAACCAACAAAGTTCGAAAAAGATACGGAAAGACTACCTGAAAGAACGTAATTTTTGTTTTCTTGTGGTAAGGAAATCATGCCTGTGTCGAGATAGCTTGAGTCACGGTATACTCTGTTTCGGTCCTGAACTGCCTCCATATCGACTTACACTGGACCGGTGTGATCAGCGTTCTGGATGAAGGAACCTGCAAAATGAAAGAATCCAACCAATACCAATGGATCAAACACTGGTTCTGCAGATATGAAAGCGTGTTTTAAACGGAAAATCGCGAAAAAAATAGCATCTTTTCGACACTTCATTACATAAACAAGAATGTCTGAATTCTAAACCGAGGAAGGAACAAAGATACCTGCTCCCAAGTACTTGAAGCCAGTGGATCAGATGCTGCATTGTCTTTGTCAGAAGCTGCATGCTTCTTCGGATCCATCAGAGAAACGGTGAGTATCTTCTCGACGTTGTCAGGTTCGTTATCCAAACGAGTTACAGCCATGACAGCGAGCAGCTTCAAGGACTAAAAAACACGAAAAGCATAGAAGGGTCAGAACTCTGAAGCCTGTATAAGAACGTAATGAAAATGCCAGTGTGAGAATGATATTTTATCAGAAACTATTGTACGGAAGATCGGGCAGCTTTTGTGATCGCCCGGATATCTTCTTTTCCGGTCCAAACCCGTGGCATTGATTCAGAATCATGGCTGAAAATTGTAGCAAACCTGAATACCGGACAAAATCAGGGGCCAGGGAAATTTTAAATCGGTAGCGAAGATTTACAGGGTGAGGAGATTGTTACCTATCCTTCATTCTTATCAAAACCCTACCGGCTTCTTCCTTGGCCTTAGATTCAATCACACCTCTTGCATAATCCTGAAGGCTTTTCAGCATTTTTTCCCGAGCTTCTTCGTCCATGTCAAAGCCCGATAATCCACCACTAAGACCAGAAACTGCCGATTCAGTTTCACGCTGAAGAAGCTTCTTTATCGATGGCCACGTTTCATCGCTCGCTCCTTCCAGCAGTGCTTCCACCGGATCTACCAATGCTTCGTTGAGTTTTGACTGCAAACCGGATGTTCAAACAGTATAAACTCCATTTCTGAAGGTTTCTAGCTTTATGTTTCTTACATCAAGAAAGTACAATGACAATTCTCGAATGATTATATAAGAATGTCATCCTTCGAACATTAAAAACTAGACAAAGTAGGATTTATTCTAGCTTGATTCTCAGAAACCATCAAGAAAAGCTCCGAATACATAAAAAATTGATAAAAACGATGATATCGGCTCTCTTTTACCTCGTATAGACCGGTAAGTTCAGACAGCTTAGCAGTTCGGACAGAGGAAATGTGCGCCTCAATGTCACGGACAAGCTTTTCTCGGACTTTCGATGTGTCCCAATTCGCTTGTTGGATGACAGCATCTGTACCAGATAACGTTGGCATACACTCCGTGAAAAACATGGTCTGATCAAAACCCGAGACATTTGATAAACCCGAAAACTTCAGTTTTAAAATCATATTACATAGTTTTAAGCAGATTGATATATATCAAAACCTTCGGTACAAGCAAACCAAAGGTATGGAGAAAACTCGAGAATACCTGCACACTCTTCATCGAACTGGGCGATGCAGGATTTGGACCAAGAAACAGCAGACGAAGAGAACCCTTCTCCCAAGCTCAAAGCCATGTCGAAAGAAGACTTAAACTTGTCAAGCATTCCCCATCTTATATGTCCCAACATATTTTGAAAAGCCGGTTGCACGAGCTGAAAATTGAAACATGATAAAATGAGTAAAGCTTAATATCAATATTCAGAGTAAAGATCAGATATACACAAATGATGTATATGTATTCTGCATATGTGTGTGTGTGTATATATCTATTGAGAATTGGAGAGATAGATATATGACTTCCACAACATTCTCAAGTGATCTAAGGATATTATTACTTGAAGCAGCTTTTCTTCGAGCTGGTGCCTCTTTGCAGTTCTGACACCTTCATCGAAGAATGCAGCCTCACCATCATACCTAAGGCAAAATACATAAGAGAACAAGATTTGGAAAGAAATCTCATCCGATTTTGACCCCGAGAAAACTTTTTTACTAAAGGAGCTTACTCGGAAAAGCATGACCCGAGAATGGAACTGAGCCTCTTCCCAAAATCCGAAACTGGACCAGACTGCACGGCTTCTTCCAGTTGGCGCCACTCCTGAGGCGAAGCAAAAAAGGTTTCGTGACTAACAGATTCAGCAAAACACTTCGAATAATGGTAAGCAATGTGAATGAGAAAATGCCAAAAAAAGTTACCTCATTCGCCGTGAATTGTGAAAACTTCTCATTCGCGATTTCTTCACACCGAACAGTCGCCACCATGACCTGAAATAGAGACATCACAAAACTGCATGATCCAATGCCAGAACCATACAACCATAGTTTACCTTGTGGGCTGGAAGGTCAAGGTCCTTATTCTCTTTTATAACTCTCCAGATTTCTTCTGCACTAAATGCAAAAGCTGAAGCCGGAATCACTTCCGTTCGATCTCCAGCAAGTCCACCCGGTGCAATGGAATGCATGAATTGTTGTCTCAGACCAGCAACCTAAGTCCCGGAGGCAAAAAAAAGTTTCGAAAGAACAAACTTTTTAATAGTTCCCATTTCAAGAATCCGTCTACAAGCTTGGCTACATATACATAACATACACACCTGCTCTCTAAATTGCTCTTCCTTCTCCTCATAACTGGAAAGAGCTGCAACTTTGACCTGCCCATCGAAGACGAAACCCAGAATGAAATTTCTGAAACGAAGAAACTATTCTCACCTTATGACAGCAAAAGAAAAGTTCTTCCAGTTTCATATCGTACATTGAAGAAGTCACTAAGTGGAGTTTCCATGTGTGCTTGTGGCTTTGGAACCGAATCCCATATCTGGAAACATGGAGGAAAGGTCGAGTAAGCAGCCTTTGTCAATTGGCATACACTTAGCTAAAATCACTTCTCTTTACCTTCTGAATGTCTTCCCTTAAGACGGGCTCTAAATTTTCCAATGGCGTCTGCAGTCAAATCATATCGATAAAAATCAGGACGAGTTAAAAACATTGTATGATTGGATAGGAAACAAGAGAGCATACCCGTGTTTTGTCTCGTATTACAAACATCATAGTTGTTTTACGAGGACGAAACAATCTCATCATGACCTGTCAGTGAATATCGGAAATGAACTATCAGTTGCAACTCTTTCAAGATTCGAAGTCGTCATGAAAACAAGCTATATATAAAGTTCAACACTTTCCCCATAAGAAGAAGTAGCGTTTTTAAGTACCTGAAAGACGGTTTTCAGGAGAGGTTTATTTGCAGCTTGTTCACGGCCGATATCGTGACACCACCTAAAACACGTAAGAGTATCAAGAATCAAGAAACAAGACGAGAAAATCAGCAGATATCATAATCTCTACTACGAAGAAAATCTTACATGTTGATCAAGACAACGTCCGAGATAGCTAGCGCGAAAAGAGCACTTTGTTTCTCAAAGGCGGTATCGTCCTGATTTGAACAACAGAAGTACAACCGGTGAAACGATAAATCCCCAAAATGCTAAAAAGATTCCAGGATGGTAAATACAAGCCTCGGAGAAAAGGGGAAACCCATAAATGTATCATCAAAACCGAAAAAAAGGGGGCCATGAAAGTTAACTAACCTCTCCACGCTCTCTTCCATCAGTGCCCTCTAAATCCATCACAAGTGTGCAAGGATCGATTCCGGCACATACTGCAAGCCATATCCCTTTTGTAGTCTGCGACCTGTGGAAGAGAGCTTCTGATTCATTCTGCAGTGAATTTTCATGGCAGAGTACTGAACTTTGAAAACATTACAAGACGGTGTCAAACCTTCCCTTAAATGCATCCATTTCTCTGAAGTTCGTTTTGAACAGATGGTTCAGTAAGGTACTCTTCCCTGTCGGAAGATGAAAGATAACAACGTATAAGGGCCAATATATATACACACACACATATATATATACATGTATGTATACATTACCACTGCTTTGAGGACCCATGATGGAGACAACTGCATATGAGAGTCCACACTCTCCAAGCTTCACATCCTTGATAAACTGATCGACACCCGAAACGTTGAAGGTGCCATCGCCGTCCATAAGCTGTACAGAACAGCTTCCCTCGACATTCTCTGTAGCCATTATCATAGAATCAACACTAACATGAACAATCGAGTCAAATAAATCTCGCGGATGAAATTGGGCGACCATAACATGTAAAGACGTGACTTTGGGTGTATTTTCATTCCAAGAATCCATTTTTTTCCCTTTTCTTTCTACAAATAGATCAGATAAGGACATTCTTTACCATGGGAAAAGAAAAAAAAAGAATCAACAAATAGAACAGAGGACTGTGATCACTTTGTTATCAAATTAAACGGATCTGCACGATCTATGATTGGCTAAATCACAAAAAAAAGGAACAGCAACTGCGATGAATCGATGGAAAAACAGAAATCCGATAAATTTCTGGAACAGAGGAAGAGAGAGAGAGAGTACCCATTGCCGTGTTCTGTGTTTTCAAGACAGAGCTATGATGAAGAGTGAAGACAAATTCCGCGATGAGGAAGAGAGGGAGAGCGAAAAGATCAGAACTTTCAGGGTTTCTATTGCAATATTCGTCGAATCGGATCAAGGGCAGAGATTTGTTTTAAAAAATCTTCTTGTTTTCTTGATTCATTTTAATTTCTTTTTTGGTTTAAACTATGAGCCATTTTGTCCTTTGGAATGAAAGTTTGGGAATTTAGATCCCAATGTACGAATTTCTCGGGCATGCAGAAACATAAAAACCTAATCTTTCAAATCTTGCAATAACAACATCCAATTTTATTCACAAATCGAAAATCTCTCATACCCATGTTGAGAATTTTATCAAATTATATTTTGGTAGGTGTCCTGCTTTTCATGTGCAGGTTTATATGGTTCACTGGTGTATCTGCATATTAGCGTTGTACAGGAGTTTGTTAGGATCTTTAGTTTCATTTTCTGAATTTATTTATTTAACTTTAATATTTTTTTATTCCTTTGTATATAAATGGAGTCTGTACAGTGAACGAGGATACACGAGAGAAATCTTCATCTTCTTCTTCTTCCTTCCGATACTGTTTCTTGATTCATCTTTGACCATCTTTTCCTTTGATTCTTTCTTTTTCCTGAGATCGTTTTGTTCTTTCATCTATGGCGAATCAAACCCCACCTGAAATTTCTTCTCCAGGTTCCCGATTTCTGCTTCTATCAACCTAGATGCATTTGCGAATCCCTTATTTTTCTTCTTCAGGTTCCACGATTTCTGTTTCTATCAATCCAGATCCATCTGCGAATATTTCTTCATGCGGCTGACGCTTCCAGCCTCACTCTCGTTACTGAAAAACTCTGGTGAAGAAAATCGCACCCTCTGGTCCCGATCGATCATCAAAGCGCTGACAGCCAAAAACAAACTAGGGTTTATACACGGCACAGTTCCTAAGCCGTCTGAGGAGCACCCAGATTCAGGTTCGTGGATGCGCTGTAACGCTCTTGTTTGCACTTGGCTCACGAATTCTGTTTGCTCCGTTGTTGTTCGAGCAATTTCACACACTCAGCTCAAGGGGCTCGGCAGTTCTCACATGGACTCAGTTGTGGTAGTAGCCACGTCTGTTGTGACTTACGCTTATTTTCTGCACTTCATCCTATCTCTCCTGTTGACATTTCTCTGCCCAACGGCTCTACCATATCTGTTTCCCATTCTTAAAAAAAAAAATGAATCTTTGTATATATCCTTGACAAAGAATCGTTTACGAGTGCATACAGAAACAAACTGAATCTGGAACAGACAATGTTCCTAGGTGTAAGGAACTAAACACAAATGAATCAATGTTCCTAAGTTTAGGCAAAGAACGAAGGTATACATTTTAATTTCTGTATACATCTACTCTAAGTATATGCTTTGTCCTACTGACTTATTCTAAGTATCTTACAGAGCTTGTCTTGATCGACCGGATTCAACAGTGGGATTCTGCACTTCCCCTAAGCTGACCTCTGCAACATAACGACGAGGCGTATGATTTCATGGCCAGTGTCAGTTTCATTGCCCAGTACGAAGATGGCTCCATACCGACGGGAATATCGTTTCTTCTGAAGGCAACTTGCCGGAAAAGCTGACGAACTTCGCAGCACCGCAAGAGCTCAACCTCGTAAACGAGATTTACTCCGCAAGAAGCGAGCAATTGCTTGTCTTGCGTGGTTATAATGACTCTACTTCCCGGACCAAACGAGTTAAAGACCTCAGCAAGGGAATCTATCTGTTCGATCTTGTCCACGTCGTCGGCCACGAGAAGAGTCTTTTGGTTTCTGAGTCTAGCGTTGATGGCGTTAGTGCCCATGTTCATGCTCTTAATCAATGAAGCCTCTTCTCCATGGAGTCTTGATATGAACTCTTTCCTTAAACGTGAAGGGCTTCTAAGCTGAGAGCAAATCCCTTTGACGTTTTCGAGAAGGCAATGCGTTTGGAAGTGTTTTGAGATTTCCTTGTAGAGGCACCTCGCAAGAGTGGATCGGCCATTGCATCCCATGCACCAAATCCCGATCAGGCGAGTATCCTTATTCGAGTTCAGATCCAGCAATTGATACAAGGCTTTCATATGATCTTCGAATCCAACCAGGTTTCTGCTGATGCTTGATGCTGCAGGGTACAACTCTTTCGCTATTCTTTCGGTAATTCCATCGACTAGCTTTGAGTCATCATCCCTGCAACACAATAACTCGTTGTGGTGTCAAGATCAAGATCAAGACTTTTTCAGATCCTTTCTTTGGCTGTAAGAAACATCGATAACCCTTTGTTTTCTCGAGAAAATCGTTTGAAAAAATCATAGTATACGAAGATTATGATGCAGATTACCATTTCAAAGAGCACTCGCCCCGGATGTCAGCCAGTTTAGTGACAGCCTTCTTCCATGAATCCACCTTCTGCGGATCCTCTCTGCTCTCGTGCTTCTGGAACTGCTCGGCGACTTTCCCTTTCCGTCTCCTCAGATCCGAAGGCTCGATATCGTAGAAGATGGGTATGACGGTGAGAGAACCGGTTTTCTGAAACTCGAGAATCTTGACGAGCTCTTCAAGGCACCAGGAAGAAGCTGCGTAGTTCTCTGAAACGACGACGACCGCGAACTTCGAGCTTCTGATCGCTTGAATGAGCTCAGGGGAAATCAGTCTCCCTCTCTCGACCTCTGTGTCGTCCTTGAACGCTCTTATCCCCTTTCGATCCAATTCTCTGTAGAGAAAGCTGATGAACTTCCTCCGTGTGTCCGGGCCTCTGAAACTAAGAAAGACATCGATTATCTGAATGGCAGAAGAAGAAGATGATGATGAAGAAGACAATGACGAGGATGAGGAAGAAGAGGGCATGGATTCTGAAGAAGAAGAAGAAGAGGATTCAATTTGCTTTGTTACAGTTTATGAATGGCTTTGAATCCATTATTTATAAGGTTGAAGCCGTAGGAGAAGTTTCACCAAATTTGCAGGGAAATTGAAGTGAATTTTACGCAGGAGGTCAGAATATACGAACTTTTCCAACACGTGCGTCAGAAACTCTTCCCCACAACTACAGGGAAGCTGACTCACACACACACATATATATATATATATAGAGAGAGTATAAACTCATACTTAATAATGATAGTTATTATTGTTATTACAAATAATATAATCCTTAATCCTTTGTCAACGAATACAATAACCAAATCGGTATAATGGACGACTATACACAAATATAGTCTTGGTGGTCCATGGAATGTTATGCCATTGCTTTCTTGGGACATAAATCGATTTAAGAAAATCAAATTTTGAAGATAGATACTTGTTAATATAGGTCTATTCGAATTTGTTTATAGACGAAGCTTTAAGTGGATATTTATAAGAAGTTAAAAGTGTTTTAATTTTGGGAAAACGCCATCAAATATCAAAGTTTCTATAATGGGCAGAGAACTTCATTAATATAGCTAACTTTCGTGTAATCTATGAATGATGTAAAAAAATTATTTTAAAAAAAAGACCTTTTCCATTTTTATAAAAACATAACGAAATGCAAAACTAATTCATAGACAATAGTACGAATATTCAATATTTATTAAAAATAATAATAAATTTCTCAAATTTTCTAGTAAACTAAACTTGAAATTCGTTTTGACAATTAATAACTAACAAGAAACCTATTAAACAATTTGATGTTTTGTGATATATTGGTAAAAACGAAATCGCTTTGAAGTATAATTTTTATTGTAATATATTTTAAAAAATTGACTTATATAAGTCTTCCGATTAATTAGCTATCACATATTCCGTGTATTCGGATAAGTCCATCTAAATTTTGTCTGAAAACGAGTTTACTCAAACAGGTAGGGGTGTAAAACGGGTCGGCCCGGCCCAGCCCGGCCCGGCTCGTTCCGATCCGAGAAAATTTTAGCCCAGCCCATACCAACCCGTTTTTTAACGAGCAAAAAATATACCAATCCAGCCCAGATCGCCTTAGCCCGCGAAACCAAGATTCAACAAATCAAAG